TTCGTGAAACCCAACCAACTCTTCATAAAAGTGTAAGAAAAATCAAATTCTTGTATATTATCTGTATAAGTTTAAGAAAAATCAACTGATCAATTTCTTATAAAAGTGTAAGAAAAATCAACAAAAATCACTCTTAAAAATATCAGTTTCTTTTCTTCAAAAACAGGCTAAGTTTAGTGCCATTTTCATTTTAGATGTCTTAATTTTTTGTGTCATTAGAAACAAAAAGTTTGAAAACACTGCTTTATGATTATGCAAAAACATTTTCAAAATCTAGAAGATTTTCCCAAAAACAGTTTATCAAACAATTTCTTTTGCGTCAATTTCTGATTTTTCTGTTTTTAATAACAGAAAAAAAAAAAAAAAATGAAGGCATTTCCAAAAGTGCCCTAAATATTGTAGAAAGCACTACCTTCTACTGAAAGCAATTCCACAGTTTTCCATCCTACTTCTAGTTCCTAAAGTACTATAACCCCAGCCTGTCCTCAAAATTGTAAAGCACTACCTTCTACCAAAATGACTTCAAATCATTACCTCAAATTGAACCCCTTATTCCTATTTCTAAAACCTATTTTTCCAACACATTTCCAGCCGTATCTAGCTAGTAATCAAAAAGAGATTTTCAAGTAGTGCATTAAATGCATTGGATGACCACCCTCCAGTATGGACCGTTATCACTTTATCTGTTATGAAAGAGAATAAAAAAATGATATGTGAGCCGCCTATTCCAATTTTATGACCAAAATTATCACTCAAAAACTGGTTTATTTACAAATATGCAAAAGATCTGTATATATCTTCCCTCTCTCCTACGCGTAACCCAATTTTATAACCAGACTATGGAACCCACATCTCAAATGATCAATTTTGTCACTTTTCCATTCTCTTATAGTAGCAAAATGTTAACAGAAGGTTAAAATTGAAGCAAAAAATATACAATTTTTAGTTGACCAGAATAGAACAAAAAACCCTAGGCCTAAATTCCAGACTCAAATTTTTGCAAACATATATACATATATGTAACATCAGCGCTAAAAGCGACAATAAATTGATCTAAAACCCTAAAAAAATTGAAAGAAAACAAAGAAGAAGAAGAAGAAAAGATCACCGGGCAAGATAATGTCGATGTTGAAAGTGCCGCCTTCGTAAGGAGTAGTGAGGGGACCAGGAATCATTCCGGCCAAATGCGTGAGATTGTCGCCTTTAGGCTTGATGCTTATGCCCGAGAAATCGTTGTCTTTGTTGCATTCCTGAAGCTCCTTCTGTACGCGAGCGAAATCCACCATCTTCAAACACAATTTACAGAGAGAGAGAAAGAGAGAGCGAGAGTGCGAATGTGTGTATAAATACGCATCGCACACCCTCACACTCTCTCTATCTTTGCTTTTCTTTGATGCTGCTTTTCTTTGAAACCGGCGATCTGCTATGTGTTGATGCCGATCTGCTGGTTCTTTTAAGAGTGAGCTCTGAGAGTGAGAGATGAGGGAGAAAACTCAATTTTAAATTTTGAAGAGAGAGAGATGGATGGATGGATGGATGGAAGGGAAGAAGAAACCCACTCACCGTAGGATTCAATCACCACCATTGAAATATAATTGTCTTGGACATTTTTTAGCCGTTGGATTGAATCAATCCAAGGGTTCACATTTTGACAAAGGGATAACAGTCCCATCAGATTTCAAAAACCACTCTCCCTTATTATATAGATTTTGTTACTTATACATTTTGCATACATATTAAGAAACTTCAAAGGTGCAAAACATGTGTAACAAATGGGAGATGACTTCTCTTCGGTCTACATAGTAGTTTTGAGAATATTGTTGGGTCTGTGGGATTCATTATGGATCTCGTTTTGATGATTTGAATTATTTAATATGTAAAACTTGTTAAATATTTTATGTCTATAAAAAATCATATTAATCGAATATCGGCAACCCCTTGATCGTAATACATTTTTATTAACAATTTATTTTTAAAATTATATTTACTATTAACAAAAATATGTTCCGGTTAAGGGGCTATCGATATTCGATTAATGTGATATTTTGTAAATATAAAATACTCAATAAATTATATACATTAAACAATTCAGATTATAGAAACAAAATTCGTAATAAATCTCACAAACCCAAGAGTATGTTCAATAGTGGATTGAGGAGAAGCCTTCCCGATAAATAATGTATAATCTGTCTAGTGTAAGGCCCTATATAATAATAATAATTCATAACATGCAAAGCCTTGGGTTCGTGTTCACCCTTTTGTGTCTTGTAATTTTATTATTAAAATAGACTTGATTTGACATCTTTAAAAAAAATCAAAAAATTACTATTCTATTTAAGTCATATTATCTTATTTTAATCGCATTACTTCTCTATTATATCATTTCAAACCCAACTCATATTTTATAAAAAGTCAAAAAGTACACTTATTTAGATCATCTAAAACCACAATTATATAATTCACATTTATAATTTATTTTTTATAATTTTGTTTTTCAGAACTTTTTTTCAACTTGCACACATTACAATTAGTTGCAAGTATAAATATACATATGGACATTTCCAATCCTTAACCCAAACTCATATTAAATTTTAATTTGAATAAAAATCACCCAAAACTTTTTTTGTTTTTTTGTTTTTGATCGGCAAAATAAAAAAACTCCATTGATATAAAGCGCAGTACAAAGTACAAAATAAATTACATCAATAAAAAAAGGCAAGTATAAAAACATTACAATGAGCTAAATCACCCCAACTATGTTGACACCAAAAAGTTCATCCTATCATTTGCTAACACCCCAGAATTCATGAGCAACCAACCAAAGAAACAAAATAAATAAATAAATAAAACAACCACCAACTACCACCTACAACCAACTAGAAAATCCTCACTTAATTGATGTGAGCAGGGGCGGAGGGAAGGAATGACGAGGGGGTCACGTGTCCCTCCCTCAATTTTGAGAATTTTTTTTTTTTGTGTGTGTATGTGTCTTGTTGTCATATATAAAATGTATATTTTTTTTCTTCTTAATATGTTTTTTTGTTAAGGATTTATTGTATTGTTCACAACAAGTAGTTATTTGATACTATGAGAACACTATCTGGTATTATTTATGTAATAGTTTAAACCAATAGTATAGCGAAAAATCTTATAGATTAGATATAATGAACTCATTATTTTCAAGCAATTGATAGACTGCTTAGTGTGATTTGTGATTTCTCATGCTTTGAGCATCATATAGGCAATGTTATATGGTATTCTAAGACTGTTTAATAATTTTCATTCGAAACATATCATTTATAAGCAATGTTATATCTTTAATATTTTTCTATCAAATAAAAATTAAATAAATTTTATAATAATTTGTGCTATAAATGATGTGTTTTTATTTTTTAAAGTTAAGAATTTTGATCCATAATTTTGTGTTAGAATTACAAACTTACATCACCATCCTGCACCGAGCTATTCTACACTATTATAAAATTTTAATTTGTTCCTATTAATAATGAATATGTAATTTTTTATGCTTAAATTTAATTCATAAAATTATTATTATCGTAATATTTATCATGATTTTTTTAAATAAAAAATTATAATTAATAGTATCCCTCTAACTCAATTTTCTGGCTCCGTCACTGGATGGGAGCAACCATTCCACATTCATAATCAGCAAATCAACAACGCCTCAGTCCAAATCATCAATGCACATCAATTCAATTCAGATACCAGAATCAGATTCATCACCCAAAACACTGTCAAATTCTTAACTCTAACTTGTATTTAAATCGAATTTTACGTATTTCTTCACTTAGAGTAAGAATTCTTAACTAACTTATATTTAAATCGAATTTTACTTATTTCTTCACTAGAGTAAGAGACTTTTTTTTGTTGGGTAAATTATAAAAACATTATTTAAATTTTGTTTAAAATACAGGTTGTTTAATGTAATTTAAAAAATTATAAATATTTCTTATTTAAAAAATTTATTTAACAGAATTAACTAAAAAAATAACATTTATAACTATTCTTCTACACAATAATAAAATTATCTAAATTATTAATTGAAATAAATTTATGACATCATTAAAAATTATTAATTGACTTGATAATTTATTAATAAAATAGACTATTTGTTATGAATTAAAAATTTCAAGAAATGGAATGTAATTAATAATTCTTATTTTAAACAAATTAATGCATTTGTAATTTATTTATTTATTATTATACTAAAATTTTTAGGGGTGAGCATTGTCCGGATTGGACCGGATTGGGATAAAACCAGGACCAATCCGTTATCTACGGTTCCTAAAAAATTGAAACCAATCCAATCCGTTTAAATCATGGAACCAATCCGAACCAATCCATTTAAATACGGATTGGATCGGTTTAGGACCACGGATTCACATAATTAAATAACGAAAATATATTTACAACACTTTAATTTTATAAAAATATAAACATAGCGCTATATTAGTTCCACAATTGCAACATATTTTTCTATAATAGCGATATACTGTTCTAAAATTTAAACAACCATAAGAAAATTGGTTTCACTATAAGTATTTAAACCATTACAAATTAAAACTAAAAACCAACAAACAAGAGTAATAAAAGAAGATATTATACGATTTTAGGTTTGAGTTTAGATTTTATATAGAATTAAGAGAAGATACTATGGGGGAAGGATGTATAATAAAAATATAGACTATTTGTATACGGTTCGGATCGGTTCCAATCCGGAACCGTGGGGTTCAATCCGGAACCAATCCGTAGACTACGGATTTTTAATTCCTCAATCCGGAACCGAACCGCGGATTCAAAAAACCAATCCAAACCTATCGGATTGGACTGAACTGGATCGGATTATGGATTTCACGGATCACTTACTCAGCCCTAAAAATTTTTAAGGGCAGTTTGGGGGTGATGTAACAATTTCTAAATTCACAATTGTACCAACCAATCACCCAATTTTTACTTAAAAATTTGAGTTGGGCCCTTGAAATAGTCCTACATCAAACTTGAGCCATGAATGAAATGAAGCAAATGGCGAACTGGGTGATAGTGGAGCTACAGAGAAAATCCCCAAACTGGACCAAAGTAGTCGAAGACATAGTGAGGATAGAGAAAAAGATCTTCCCAAAGCACGAATCACTTGCTCGATCCTTCGATGAAGAACTGAAGAAAAGGAACAGTGGATTGCTTTACTCGGAGATCGACGGTGGTGATGTTGCTGGCTATGTCATGTATTCTTCTCCATCTTCACTCTCTGCTTCCATTGCAAAACTCGCAGGTTCAGACCCCCTAAACCCCCTTTTTTCTTCTTCTTTGCTTCATAGCCTTTCTTGTCTATTTGCTTTTATTGACTTTGAAAATGGAGAAACAGGGTTTGTTGGTAGTTCAGGCAATTTCAAAGAACTTAGTTACATAATTTTTCTTATGAACAATCCACTTTAATTTTTTTTTTTTAAATCAATTGGGACAAAATTATATCAGCCTAGTGATTCAGAAATCGGAATTAGGGTTATAAACAATGCACCTTTGATTTTTTTTTTTTAATCAATTGGGACAAAATTATCGGCCTAGTGATTCGGAAATCGGAATTAGGGTTATAAACAATGCACCTTTACGCTGTGTTTATGTTTAGTTGGGGATTTAGGAATGCTGTGTCTGGTTTCATATAGTTTCACACAGCTTTTCCCTTTCCCTTTTCAAATCCCTCCCCAAATTCTCCAACCAAACACAGCAGAAGGGATTTGGACAGGGACAAGGAACGGGAAAGGGAAAGGAAAAAAGAAAAAGTGTGTGAAACTAGTAGGAATGTTGCTATATTTTATTCACATTTCACCTATTTTTTTTCTTTTCCTTTTGCAAATTCCTTTCCAAATCTTTTCCAAATCTAGCAACTAAATGCAACGTTAATACTTTTCTTTTAATCAATTGGGACAAAATTATCAGCCTAGTGATTCAGAAATCGGAATTAGGGTTATATGTAAAAAGGTGAGAGACAACCCTAAATATCGATTTCAGATCCTAATGAGAACCCTACTATAACTCACACTTGTTTTGTCTCTCACGAGTAAGGTTTTTGTACGTGGGCAGAAAAAAACACTCGATTTTCCTTCCAAACTAGAGTTTAGGGGTCCAGGTGGCAAGTGACAGTGAGGGTCAAATTGATGTCAATTTGAATAGTTCAAGTGTAAGATTTGCATAACTAAAATAATAGGATTATTAGAGTCTAATTGATTCTTGAGGGATAACTTAGAGGGTAAAATGAAATTTTCACTAATTAAAAGGGAAAAAGTAAGGATCACTTAAATATTGTGTTTTCTCTCCCTCATGTTTGGTTAAGTAAGAGAGAATATTAGGGCAAGAGATATTGATTTTTTTCTTTTCTTTTCTTCAAATCATCCAATTCAAACAAACTGTAAATGGTTGATCTTGTCCATATTTGCCTAGTATTCTACAAATTCAAGAATATTTGTATGCAAATTGCAGTTTTGAATCACCTATAGCTTCTACTGGAATGATAGAAATAGTGGGGAAAATCTAAGACAAGCCAATTAATGAAAATTGCAAATCTCATTTAAACCACAGTGTTCCTTTGTTGGATACTTGTGTTAATTTCTACTAGTGATAAGATTGATGCTTATGTTATGTGAACCAAAGTTATTAATTCCGTACCGGACAAAGTTTCGTTTTTTCAATTAGTACAGTACCTACTGGTACCAGTATGTTTCCGGGTACCGTTTCAGATTTATTGCAAAAATATTATGTATGTATGAAAAAAATTGTTTATTAGTAAATAATGGCCTATTTTGAGAAGATGGTTATAATCAGTTTTTAGTGAAAAACTGCTTATAAACAGTTTTTTTGTAAGAGAGGAAGTGGATTATAACCCACTTCCCAAAATAGGCCAATATAAGCATATAATATATTTAAGCCTATAATTTAACCATCCAAAGTTATATTTTTTATTTTCTTAGGGCAACAACGTAGATCATATAATACATATATATATATATATATAATAAAAATTCAAAAATTCACTTTTGCTTGCATACCGTTCAATTTTGCCAGAATTACATTTTCCGGTCGGTATTGACCAGTATTTATGAAATTGGCTGGTACTTATCGAGAAGTTAACCGGAACGGTATTGGTCTATTTGTATTCCGTTTTCTCTCTGGTATGGTATTGACAACTATGATGTGAACTGATCTTGATATTTCATAACCTTTCCCTTCCCTTTCTTTTCTCTCCACAAATCCAAGAACCAAACACGACATTAGTACCTCTCTTTTTCCCATTTAGTTTCTCTACATTATCTCTTTCATTTCCTAGTAATGGGGTAACGGCTAAGCTTGGTGCAGTGGTAAATGCTTTGCCTGCCACAATGCTAGAAGGTTCTATTTGTAACTTGTCCACCCCTCCAAGGGCTGTGAGTTTGAGAGAAAGGTAAGAATGGACTTTTAATTCCAAATAATGGTGTACTCCTGGAAAACAAGTTTAAAAAAGGTAGCACAAATGTGGTATTTGATTTATTTCAATGAATAGAAAGACTGATTTCATCAAATGCTTATTTGTTGAAAATGTCTTAAATGTGAATTTTTCTCTTGTTGAACAAATTTGACTTTTATAGCCTTTGTTCTTTTTGTTGATGGGAAACAAAATTAGTGAAGGAGAAATGTAGGGGTCAAGGCCATGGAGAGGCACTACTGAAAGCAGCGATTCAGAAATGCAGAACTAGGAGTGTCCACCGCATATCACTTCATGTTGATCCCTCAAGAGCTCCAGCCATGACTCTCTACAAGAAACTTGGTTTTCGAGTTGATAATTTGATAGAAGGTTACTATTCTCCAGATCGAAATGCTTATAGAATGTACTTGGATTTTGATGGTAATTAGAAGAATGGCGCTTGAAACATAAATGCAAATGTTTACAAAAATGTGCCTAGCATTTTGTATCTGAAAGAAGTCTGAAAAGAAGCATTTGATCTGTAAAATCATAGATTATTGTGTCGTTCATACCATTTATAGTATCATTTAGTCAATAAATTGATTGCTTTGAAAAGTAACCTTCATTCTTTGCATTTTCTGATTTTCACAAATATATATCTTGTCAATGGATTACATGAAATTTGCACGCATCTTGTTGTCTGGATACTTTAAACATTTGATCGCAAAATAGAAATATGCACTCATTGAGACTTAACTATGAAACAATTATAAAAGAATAACATTTGTTCTCAAGGACCTTATACCTTCTGATCCGATTACATGCAAATCCGAATCTGATCGTCTAAATCCAATTATAAGCCATCCAAATCTGAATCCGAATTATATGGATATCCGATCTGTAAAACCGATCTGATCCAATCCCCCTTTTTTTTTTGGGCTGTGCAAGAAGATTTCTTGGACAAGTAGGAAGGAAGAAGGTAATTCATTCCCATCCATCTTTGTTTGTTATGTTTCTTTTATCTCATCTCGCTTTGGAAAATCAACAAACACATTGAAGACTATCATTGTAGTCTACAATTCCTGCATTTCGCAGCCTATGATTTGCAGTTGCTGTTGCTTCCTTTTTTCTGTATATTGCTGCGGTAATATATGTGTGTGTGTGATTGATTGTTAAGATTTGCTTTGATTTGATTCTATATATTGTGGTATATATATATATATATCTGTGTGTGATTAATTGTCAAGGTTTGGTTTGATTTGATTTGATTTGATGAGATGAGATGAGATCTGTGTAGTAGTGTAAGGTTTGAATATGAATTTGTGATGATGGTATGGCAGGTGTGAGGTGAGAAAGAGAATGTAGATGAGAGAGATGAGTTTCGACATTTAGCAACATACTGTTCTAGTTTGCATACAAAGTCGGATTCGGATAATAATCTGATCGGATTTATCCGGGTCCGGCAGGCCTGCTTCTTATGTGCATGTGCGGAAGAGCCTGAAATCATCAAAAATTTACTGTCACAATGTGCATGTATTCATCCAATGTGGCTCTTTGATGGTTTCTCTGATCTTATGAATCATTTTCACATCCATTCTGTCTATGAAATGGACAGTGGAATTGTTAGAATTTATGAAGCACGGTACTTAAAAAATGGTGTTGTATGAGTATTGGGTACTTATCAGGTACGGGTACGCATATCTGTACAGCGGTACGTATACCGGGTAGGCCGAATACACGCCGGGTACGGCAAATACATTTGGGTACGTCGTGGGTACGGCATGGGTACAGTATTGGTACGGTGAGGTATTTTTTTTATTTATTGTTTTTTTTAGCTGTTAGAATTTATTGTAACCTTATTATTATTCTTTCAATTTTAAAAATATGAAGTAATTTATTTCCAACACTCTTTACCCATGAGTCATGATTTTGCTCTCTTTTGCATCCTGTTTTAGACAATCAAAAAAGAAAAAGAAACAATTATATAACTTTTTTAGACAAACTGTTCTCTTTTTAGTTTTGATATTGAAACTTTGATTTGTATGTTGGATGTTTAGCTATAAATTTTAAAAAATAATAATAAATAAAGAAATAAATTGACGTATTCTAGTCGTACTCGTGTCCAACTTTTTAAAGAATTTTCCGTATCGACATACTTCGTACCCATATCCGTACTTGCACCATTGCTTCATATGTTAGAATCTATGCATTCATCAATGGCAGCTTTGGAGGCATCATGATTGATCTGTTGGGTTTGTTTGTCAGTAAGGCTCCAAATGGAGCTTGCTTTAATCCTCTCCCAGTTTTGTCCAACTTTTTTTTTTTTCTTTTTTTTTTTGAGAGTTGAGAAGGCTGTTCATGAGTTTAATTCTCGCTCAAGGCTCTCTCACCGTTGACAGAATCAGAGAATAGGTTAGCCTGTGATGGAGAGTTCAAGGCTCACATGGAAGGGTGTCATAATTGATTTCTTTATGTTCTTCTGATCTTGCTCTCCCGTGGGTGATTGCTTGAATAATTGAGGACGCCGTAATCTGGAACAGATCTCTGCAGCTTTTTGAGACAGGAATCTGGAAACATATGATCCCTATTGACTAGAAGTGCATTGGAACAGAGAATCTCTTTCTGTTTTGTAGCCTGCAGGACCTTACTTTGAATCTCAACATCTGCTGATTTGCATAATGGAATTCAAAGTGACAGTGAGGAGATGTGAGGTTGTAATTGGAGTTACCAAATTTCTTGGCCTTGAAATTTGTCTCTCTCTCCTTATCTCCTTTCGCCTATTTGCCATTACAGATTGCTGTCTGAAGAAGAAAATTGTATGGGTAACAAAAGTAGTAAGATTGGCAGCAAAGCTACTGGCAAATATGACACCCACCCATCCATTAAATAATAGATTGTATGGTTTGACATATAATTTTTATTGGATGCTATCAGTACATTAGATATTGTAAAAAAGGTGCTTGAAACCAAGAAAACATTTCCATTGATAGTATGAAAATGCAATAATATGCCAACTTGGGGCAGGGCACAAATTGACCAGTAAAATCTGCTGACATCTCTTACTAAGGCTTTGTTTGGGTACAAATTTTTTTAGTGAGTTTTTAATTTTTTGGCTAAGATATAAGATGAAAAAATTTAATATATTTGGGGATGATTTTTTAGTTTTTACGAAAAGATATATTAAAAGTAGAGTGAATGGAAAAGAATTTTTGACTTTTTAGTATTTATTAATTTTTTTATTTTTTTAATAACTTTCTGAATTTTAGATTATTATATTGCCAAATGAGGCCTAAAATTGGATTAGAAGCTTGACATGCTATGGATATGGATAAGGAGCACTTAAATTTTTATTATTGTTTTCATCAATTTTTTAAATACAATTCTTTGAAAGCAAAATTGGGAGAAATGATGTTAGTTATAAGAATGAAAAAATGATATTATCTTTTTTATATTAAAATATATATTTTATTTTGTTTATCATTGTATATTTGTGTCATTATATTAGTTTTGTAATAATTCTACACATACTAACAATTTTATTAAAAATATAAGAGGCCAAATGTGATCGGTTGTCGAAAAAATTTCTCCGTTTGGTTTCAGTTTTCAGAATTCACGTTTTAGAAAATTTTACTTTTTCATTTTTCGTATTTTTTTGTTTTCACTAAATTTTTTTAATTTTTAGGCACACCTAACATAAATACACTTAAAAAGTATAATATTTATGAAAAAAAAACTTTAAAAAATTTACTAATGCCAAAAATATCAACAACAAAAAAAAAAGTGCATTTTTCGTATTTTTTTGTATTTATTAATTTTAAAATATTTTTTCACAAATATTTTACTATTTAGATACATCTAAAAGTAAGGTGCATCTAAAAAAGTAAAAAAATTATTTAAAATTTTTAAAATATTCACTAAAAATAAAAAAACACGAAAAGTAAAAAAAACTCAATTTCTAGAAAACTGAAATCAAATACACTGATAATGACATTTAAACATCTAAAAATATTTGTTGTTAGTAAGATTTTAAATAGATGTAGCATTGCTCTTAGTTTTAATCCTTTTAACTGTGAGAACCCGATAAATAAAATAAATCATTAAATAATAATAATTTTACGAATATCAAATAATATACTTGTGAATCTTAATGTGCAAATTAAATATTATTGAACGATCTTTTAATTAATTTTAAACCTAAAATAAATTTATGGTAAAAGCTTTTAATTTAAAGGCAAGATTTATTATTAAAAAATGGGGAGGACAAATTAGTAAGCATATTTTAATCTAATAATAGTTATATTTTATTTAAATTAATGGAGAGAGAAAATAAAATAAAATTAGAGTGCCTCTATTTACACACCATATTTGGTCTCAAGGTACACTACTACTTAGTTCACACTTTTAATAATTTTTAAAAACATAATTTTTCTCAACACAAACCACAACGTTCCATTTTCGCCCTTAGTCCCACATCACTTAGTACACACCTCAAATTCACACAAAAAAAAAAAACAAAAACAAAAACAAAAACAAAAAAAACAAACTTAACTGTTAGACACCACCGGCAGTAGTAGCCATCACCGGCAACCATCATCAACGCCAACCATGGCCACCGCCGTCAACCCTTCCTTCCGTCTTCGCAGCTGTCCTTGCCCACTTCCCAGTCTTGTAAGTGGCCTCCATTTCTAGAGACCCACCACCTCGCAGATTGTCGCCACCGTCTTCAACATCTCCCTCCTCCCTCACGTTTTTTGCTACCTCCTTCTCAGCCCCGTCGCCTCCTCCTCTTGTAGATCACCTTCACCGCTATCAACCTCTTTTCTCACTTGCGCTCTGCCGTTGTCCCCTTCCTAGCCTAGTCACGCCTCTCTTTCGTCACCAACCCCGCAACCCACCACCTTGCAGATCACGAGAATACAGATCGCGAGAGAGAGAGATAGATCACCGGTGAGGGTTTGTGGTGATGGGGATTCGCCGGAGCTGAAGAGAGGTGACGAGGCAGTAATGGTGAAATGGCGGCAGTTGCAACAATGGTGGCTAAGGTTAGGATTTGGATGTTGTGTATTCAACTAAGGTATGCGCTGATATTCTTTTGTGGTCATTTTGGTCATTTTAGGTAAGGTCATTATTGTAATAAAAAATAACCAATTAATGGTGTGCCTTGAGACAAAATGTGGTGTGTAAACAGAGGCACCCATAAAATAAGGATAATTATTTAGAGTCTTCTATGTTATGTATAACAAAGAAAAGAGAAAAAAAAAAAGCACCCTAGCTCTTCTAACAATTTCACTAGCAAGAGTAGCCATGAGAAAGAGAAAAGAAACAAAAGGGTGCAACTAAGGAAGGATTGGGGTGTGTTGTGCTGTGTGTGATCATCAAATGATAGCCCTCCTGGGTTTTCTTCTCTTATTTCTTCTTTCTTTATCTTTATTCTATTATTATTTAATTCATTGATGGAGAGATTGTAGGTATATGTATTTTGTATATATATATATATATATATAATGTTAAGAAATCTAAGGAGATAAATTGTGTGTAAAGACTGGTGTAATTCTTATTCTAAAAATTCTTCACAGAATCACAAACCTTAAAAATCAAGAAATCATATCAAATGGATGAATTTTGAACTGAAATTTATGCAATAGCTTAATTAAATATTGAATCCTATATTAGAATTTTCTCATAATTTTTGGGAGTCAAAATCTATATAAACTGGTGCATTCAAATCCGTCCAGAAAACTAGTGTAAAATAGTAACTTCAAAAGTGTCGTTCTCTTTGGGTATAAATTTAAAAATTATCAAATCAGCGTCATTAGAACCGGTTACGAGTCTGGTTTCTTAAATTTTGTCCTTGCATTGATTGGTCATGTATACTAAGAGAACCATGAATTTCTTTGAAGTGTTGCAGAAAACAACCTGTTTTGATATAATTAATTGTGAATACTTATTTTGATAAGCAAATCAGTTTGAAACTTAGGATATATTAGTTGATATCTGGAGGGTTTTGGAATTTTTCTAACAGTGTGGAGTGAGTTTTTAATTTTCAAATTTAGCGAATGGATTGGGAAAACTTGTTTAAAATTCTATTTTACTTTGAAGTTACTTTTAATTAAGTTTCGATCGGAACCCATGTCTTGGATTACATTATTCCGTTTCAGGTGACTAGTTGCATGCTACATATTCTTTTTATAAATGTTCCCCACCCTAAACTTTTGAAAAATTAAATTGTTATTTCAGGACAAAACTATTTTGATAAATTATTATATTATCAATGGAATTAAATTATTTCTGAAATATAAGTAAACTTGGCATACAGTAAACTGTTTGAAATATTCTCATGTTTATAATGGTAAATTACCACATTTTGCGAAACTGAATAGTATTGATGATTGAGACCATTTGTAAATAAAAGTCCATAGAATTTATTCCACTGTGTGTGGTGACTATGGCCACTAGGGAATAGATTCAGGTTGGGCTGTGATGACTCTAAGGCTCAACGATTGTAAGGAAAAGATCTAGGCTAGGCTAGGTGACTTTCAATTAGATCGTCTCAATGAAAAGGCCCAGGTCGCCACTTCAAGGATGACTCCTGGTTCGATGTTTGATCCTACGAGCTTATTGCCTTAAGAACTCTGCAGTGTGTTACTAATTATTCTTGGTATCCAGAAAATTATTGATGATCATATTGTAATCTGTTTTAAGTGGAGAATGTCATTTGTTATATTTTTGAAAGACGTGGGTATTTTAACTGTTGAACTGTGGAACTTTCGTTTTGAAACAGATTGTATTTATCAAAACTGTATCTATCCATGCTTCTACTCACCGAGCTATCAGCTGATTTAATTATTTATCATTTCCAAGTGATAGAAGGACTTAGAGTGTACTCATGGCATAGCAGAGACTTAATTACATAGACCTCTAGAACATTCATATATATATTTTTATGTTTATTTTTCAGAATGGTATATCAAGTTTGTGCATATATATATATATATTGAGCTTCATTTAGGATTATTCTATTATATGGGTAGTTTATATCCCGTTGATTTGGATGGTATTGATTAATGTTGATTTTGCCGTTTATACTTATGACTTGTAACTGGATTAAGTTTTGATTTATTTATTTCTAGACTATCGTTAAGTTTATTCTTTGTGATATTGGGTTCGTGTTTAGACTTGCGTGTACCATGAGCTAAGTTTCTGTGAGCCACGGTGGGTCACGCTTGGATCTGGGGTGGACATTAACCTTACTAAAAGAGAGATTGGTGTAATTATACCAAAATTGCGATTTAAGTGTGGAATTGTGAGTTGAGTTTTGAAAAGAGAAAATTTGTTTGGTTATGAGTTTTGAATTTTTTTTTGAATTTTGAAAAGAGTTTTGAGTTTTGAAAAGAGTTTTGAGTTATATTTTGAAATTTTTCTGATTTATTTTTTTAAAATATTAAAAAATGTTTAAGAAAATTTTATTTATTTATTTTAAATATATAATTTTTTTTAAAATTTTTTAAATATTTTATTTTATTTTGTAAATATTCTAATTTTTTAAATTTTAATATTTTAAACTCAAAACATAACTCCACACTCAAATCATAACCAAACACATAACTCAAATTTCAACTACTTTCAAAACTCCATACTCAAATCGTAACCAACACATAATCAAAACTCAATTCAAAATAATTTTCAAAACTCATAACTAAAACCATAACTCGAAATTCCAATTACTTTCAAAATTTCGCACTCTAATTGTAACTAAACACTAATTAAAAAAAAAATTTATTTAAGATATATTTAAAATAAAATAAATACTTAAAATAAAATTTATTTAAAATAATAAAAAATTTTTTTAATTTTATATTAAATATTTAAAAAAATACAGCACATAATATATGAATATAGTTACATAAATAAATAATAAATTAAAATATAAAATATTTACCCTAAAAAAATGAAATTAAGAATTTTTTAAATATTTTAAAAAAATAAATCAAAAATTTCAAAATCGACTTAAAATTCAAAATACAATTCAAAACTCTTTTAAACTCATAACTAACAAATTTTCTTTTTTCAAAACTCAACTGCATAAACTCATAATACGTTTTGGAGGTGGCTTGGAGGTTTTTTGGCTATATGCCACAAAAAACAAAAATAGGGCCTAATTTTAGCCATAACAAACAAAACATCACATCCAACCCATAATCATTACACCCTTCTCTATGCTTGGGCCCGACAAAAGCCAAAAAGCCAAAAAGCCAAAAAGCCCTTCCCAAACCAAGCTTTTAAGCCCAGGCTAAAATAGCCAAAAAAGCCAAAAAGCCAAAAAGCCAACCCACTTCCCAAACGGAGGATAATCAAATCACGACTCCACACTCAAATCACATTCCAAAAATTATTTTAAAAAATAAAATAAAAGAATATTTTTTTTTGAATTTTTTTAATAGAGTTTTGAAAAAAATTTGGTTTGAAATAATTTTGAATTGAGTTTTGAGTTGTGTGTTTGGTTATGAGTTTTGAAAATAATTTTTGAATTGAGTTTTGAGTTGTGTATTTGGTTATGAGTTTTGAAAATAATTTTGAAATTTTTTGATTGGATTTATAATTTGAAAAGAGAACGAAACACGGTCCTTATTTATTTATTTATTTTTTACTAAAAGCAAAAATCACATGATTGTCACTTTGCTTGTTTTTGGTTTTCCAAAAATACTTTTTAGAAAATTATACTTTATTGTTTTTTGTGTTTTTTTTTATATTATTTTTACTGAATTCTTTAAATATTTTAAGATTTTTTTTAAATTTTTAGACACACCTAACATAAATACACGTAAAAGGTATAATTTTTATGAAAAAATCTTTTAAAAATTCACTAAATACCAAAAATATAAAAAAATATGAGAATTCAGTATATTTTTTTTTTGTTTTTTTATGTATTTATTATTTTTTTAAAATATTTTTTTTCACAATTTTTTTACTTTTTAGATACATCTAAGTATGATGCATCTAAAAAAGTAAAAAAATGCTTAAATTTTAAAAATATTCACTAAAAACAAAAAAATATGAAAAATAAAAAATTCAATTTTCAAAAAATTTAATCCAAAAAATTCAAACTGAACACACGGGTTAGTGTTTTTTTATTTTTGTTCTTAGTAAACTTTAAAAAAAAAATTTCACAAACTTTTATAATATACTTAAAAAGTAAAATATTTGTGATAATTTTTTTTTTGTTCTAATTAAATTTTTAAATTTTTTTTTTTCACAAATATTTTAATTTTTATGCAAAAAGTAAAAGATGAATCAAAACATGAAAAATAAAATTTACTAAAAGCAAAAAATACAAAATAAGAAAAAATTAAAAAATATTTTTTTATTTGGGCTGGAATGGGGTTAAATGTTACAAAAATGTTAGAGACGGACTCATATGGAAATTAGATTTATGTGAAATATTTGATAAATTTTTTGAAAATTCTAACATTTAAGGAGGTAAAATAATCATAGTACATGGGTTTTGTTATAATTTACCCTACAGTAAGGGTTGTTTGGGACGACCTAAATAAGTGTATTTTTTATGTTTTTATGAAAAGATGTTCAGAAAAATAAAAAGATAATGTGATGAAAAAAAGATAAAAAAATAAGAAAATAAATTATTTTTGAGTTATCAAACTTGGCCTAATAATTATGTATCCTTCTAATAAAAGTATAAATTAATTATTAGAAGCTGTACTGAAAATATGCATTTAGCAAAATTAGTAAAAAAAAAAAAAAGTGAAAAAATAGAGGAAGAAAAGTCGTGTGGGCAAATCAACCAATCGAAGGTTCGGGAAGAACGGTATATGACAGCTGCAGACGGAGAATCATTTCCTCGTTGGACTCTCTTGCGTGCAATCGTATCCAGCCATAACTCTGTCATATAGGGTTAGGGTTTTTCAATTCGTCTGTAATTTAGCCAATCAATCGGGCATTCGAGGTCGGCAATGGGAAGAATGGCGAGAAGCTGCGTACAATCGATGCTGAAGCTGGTGAATTCGTTGATTGGTCTGGTTGGGATTGCGATGATACTCTACGGTTTGTGGATGATTAGGGATTGGCATAGGCATACTCATGATGGTCCTTCTCCTTTCGGTTCCAATACTCCAGCTCCATGGTATTCATTCATTCATTCATTCATTCTCTCTCTCTCTCTCTCTCTAAATTGTTTGTAGGTTTCTTTTTATTTTTGACAAGGGTGGGGCATTCTTCTAACTTTTTTTTGAAAAAAAAAAAAAACAGAAATTGTTAATTGCTACAATCTTCTAACTTTTTTTGGAAAAAAAAAAAAAAAACAGAAATTGTTAATTGCTTTTCCTTGCAGCTTTTTTCTTTTTTACTTTTCTCATCATTTATTTTTATATGTTTGGTTGTTGAGAAATGGGATGAAAACATAAGAAGATGTAATTTTGAATTCTACAAAAATTGACTTTCTTCTACTGGATGTACCCATGAATTAAAGTGGTCCCATTCACTTTTTTACCTGACTTATTAATGTAAAATTCATGTGAAAACAGTGGCAACCATCAAAAAAATAATTTTAAGATTGATTAGATTTTTTTTTTATAGGTAAAATTAGAAATCATCATCTACAATAAGTATGGTAAGTTATCTTTATTGGTTTATATTGCTGAAAAATAATTTTTGGAAGTTTAGTGCCTCCTGCATTGTGCCTTCATTATGAATTCAGCATTTATGCGAATCAGTGGGTTGCACAAGGGATGCTGATATCGCTATGGTTGCTTATATTAGTGTTACACCATTTGAGTTTCAAGCTTCTGGGTTGGGATAATTTTTAACACAATACATTTTGTAAATGAAACTGTATCTTAGGCCTGAGAATTTTCTTCTTATGGTTATTTGATAAGAAAAAGAAGAACAAAAAAAATAAATAAATATTTTGCGCTTTAAATGTTTAGTTTGTGTAAATTACTTTTTAATTGAACAATTATCTTTAAGCTATTTTTAAATGAAAAATCCCTTGAAATGCAGGTTCATGTACACTTTTCTTTCCCTTGGGGTCACTTTGTGTGTGATTACATGCTCAGGTCATATTGCTGCAGAGACTGTTAATGGTTGCTGCCTTTACTGTGTATCCTTTTAGTGAATTTGTTTCATTGATTCCTTCTTTGCTTTTTGTTATCAAGTGTTACTTCCATGGCTTTGGGAGTACAATATGAAGTATTGTTCCCTCTTAAATTTATGGAATGCTGATAAATGGTCATCTTATTGGCTATCCTTTGCTCTTTGGTTGAGTTTACGAGTTTTTGTGAGAAACTTTACAATTTAGAGCTGAAATTGCTGTTTATGCTAGGTAGTGCAATTGAGATATTATCTGATGTATCAAGACCATTACTGTCTATTTACCAGGCTGTCATTGCTACCTTGTAGCCAGTTAACACCTTGAGACAGCTAGACTATAACTTAGCAGTTGACATCAAACTTTGTATTGTTGAATGCTCTAGCATGAAAGTTTGGCATATGGATGGTTCTTCATTAATGATGGGGGTTTGTTTGATTGGGTTGGCTAGTTTTGGGTTGGTTTCATTCCGGTTGCCATTGACGGCTATGGAGGTTGTTTCATCTTAGGGTATGGAGACTCTGGGTGGATACAACTGTGACCCACTTTTAGTATCCTCCACTTACCTTGCTTTTACATGTGATGGGGAAAAAACAGGAAGGGAACAAAAGAAATTAGCCAGGAGAGTGAGAGATGGAGTATTGGTGTTGCACAGTGAGTGAGAGGAAGAAGATGAAGGGGGAAAAGAGGGTTCCATTTTCCAAAATACCTCATCATGTGCAGATCACGTGTGTGATTTTCTGTAAAAAATTTAGTGGCCATTATCAATTGGACTAATGTGACACAATGTACAAAATTGAAGGGTAAAATTATTGTAATTAAAACAATAAGGACTAAAGTGACACAAAGAGTAAACTACATGGACTATTGTTGTAATTTGCCATTTAAAATAAAAAAGTTTTGTTGGTGGTGGTACTGCTTAAACAGGTTATTGCATCCTAATAGAGTTTGGAATCCAATGGTTTTGGTCTTCTCAAATTCTTTAGAACTTTCGTAGCACTCTATCTGTTCTCTTTGAATTGTTTGTTGGATATTCAAGTTATCATCTCTACTTATGTAAATTTCTTTGGTTTTAACAAGTGGATGGTGGTGCTCTTTTTAACTCTTTCTGAAATGATAGCTTTGTGGAACTGTATAAAATGATGAATAAGTGGAAATATACTCTCTTCTAAGATCTGGTGCATCATTGTTGTAACTTAGAAGTTAGAACTGTCTTGCTGCTTTTGGTGTCAATTTATCACTAATTAGTTCAGCTGCCAGAATCCTTGTACATGCCTATAGAAGATTTACATCCCATCTCTGTTATCTGCTTTCATTAAACTTGAATGTTTTCAAGTTCATTTCAGCGCTTATATATATATATATATATTATTTATCGCATCATTTTCTTATAATTTTATTAATAGCGGGTTTTTCCTTTCATTTCAATGTATTGGATCTGTTAAGTTGTTAACTATAACGAAGTATTTTTCCTCTTTTTTCTTCCTTTATTATTATTTTTTATTATTATTATTATTATTATTATTATTATTATTTTGATTAATTTCCCATACTATCTTTGAAACTTTGAAAATTACTTTCATTTAGAAAAAGAAAGAATACGAAAATTCTGCTCATGTATGCCATATAAATTGATTTAATATTTTATACTCTTTTTTTTTTTTAATATTGTTTACAAATATCAGTTGATACGTATTTATTTTATTACTTTTCTTATAATGTTTAATTGTGTTATTTTACATATGGATTCCTTCTCATATTTTGTCTTCACCCTTGTGATGCATTCTCGATCTATCTTATGTGATTGAATGTTGAAAGTTTATGCTTTATTAGAACTGGTCCAATTATATTTATTGATCTCAAAATACTGCCTTTTGGTATGGCATTGAATTGTGACAGTTTTGCTTTCAGATGAATAGTAAAATCAAGTCATGCATATCAGTCGTTTCTTTTTACCTAATACTGCATTTTTCTGTTTCCTTGTTTCTGAAAAGTGGGATTTTTATTGTAAGAATTTCAGTTTCAACTTAACAAAGCCTCATTTTTGTAATTTGTTTGTGGTAAGGAGAAGCATTATGAAGCCCGGTAGCTGGGCATCATATTGTTATTATTTTGTGCTTATCTTTGTAAATTTCAAAGAAGCGTATGTGTAGGCTTCAGATTTTGTTAAGTGAGGAAACTCCTTATGTGATCTTGCTTCCAAAAACATTAAATAGATTTGCTTCTATGCTTCAGTTAATTCTTGGTCTGAGAACAACATCTATCAAGTAAGTTAGTGCATAAGTTCAAGGAAGTTAGTGCATAATGCTGTTTTGTTTTAATTTTAAATATGGTGCTTAAATGGTGTCAGCCTGTAAAAATTAATGTTATGATTCAATATTTGAAATATGGCCCGCACCTCAATTACTTTAAAATTGTCCTATCAAAATTTTTGTTATCATTTTCATGTCATTTCAGAATATTATCTTTTATACTCCCCTTGATTAGGTGGAATCATACCTCTGGCCGTGCCAGAATACTAAAATGAAAACGGATCTCATCATCTCTTTGGGGGGGATTCTGATTGAAAATTGATTTCCACTGTCTATTATAATGTATTGTGTCTAATTTTTATATAATAAAACTATAAAAATAAGTTTCCCATGTGAAATATTCTAATTTTGATGTTTGGTTCTGTGGAGCATTGTCATATGAAGTAGGCATTATGACTCCATTGTTGACCTTGATGGGTTTTAGTATATGGCATTTGTCTTCTTGCTGCTTGTGCTGGAAGCTGCAGTGACTGGTGATGTATTTTTGAACCACAACTGGGAGGAGGTATGTTGTAATTTAAAGTCTTCATTCTTGTGCATGTTAACAATTATTTGTGGTTATCATTTTTTTTCCCTTCAACATCAGGACTTCCCGGTGGATCCAACTGGGAACTTTAATGAGTTCAAACATTTCGTCAGAAAGAACTTTGAGATGTGCAAATGGATCGGCTTGTCGGTTGTGTGTGTACAGGTCTCTCTCTCTCTCTCTCCATTGAGTGTGCATGCACACCCACATAATGCAAAGCATGGCTGTCAAAATCCCGATCTATATTTTACGTTCGTACTATTTTACAATGCATTTGGGCAAACTCAATCTATATCATGTAGAAAATCCTTGGATGTGGGTTCTGATCATGAAGGATGGATCTTGTTGGATTGTGGAATCATATATTTGGAGCTTTATTCTATCTGATTGGATTTATAAATCTTGCTTTGTTTTGTAAATTGTATGTGTTGGATTTGTTGTTATTTTCATGTTTGTGGCTTAAATATTCATTTTACACTACATCCAAACTGAATAAAAACAAGCCATATTGAATTGGATAGGCTAAGTAAAAGAAATTAAGTAAATAGACATTCAAATATTGTTGTAATTTGACTAAAGGAATATTAATTAGTGAAATTCAAGCATCTTTGTTCTCCCCTCTAGCCTACTCCACTCTTCAAAGCGCTGGATTTCAAAACTGTTCTTCTCCATTTATCTTTCTTTCTTTATTTTTATTTTCTAGTGAACTGCAAAGCTTTTACTACTAACCTTTCTGTCTATAATGCTTATACTTACATGGTTCATTGTATTTTTCATACATTTTTATTTATATTTTTAAAATTTAGGCTAATTTTCCAACAATTATTGAGAAATGTTTATTCATAAATTATGCTTTTTCCTTTTTTGATAAGATCTTATGATTCTCAATCCAATCCTATGATATGATCTTGCTACCCCTTCCAATATTCTAACTTGTGATTCAAATAATAACAATCTTCACGCAGAGAGCTTTTGACTTATTTAGAGAGGGATTCAAGATTTAGGTTCAGTTATCTAGTTAGATGCTATTAAAGTATTTCACAGCACTCGACAAATTGCTGAAAGAAAATTAAATACGCTGACACCTTTTAAAGGTTTAAGTCATTTTGTTTTGGTTGACATTAGAGTCAATTTGTAGGTTTATCACAGTGGGCTTCTCTTTTCTTTACTTTTTCTGGCAAGTATTTTATTACCTGAAAAATAGAATAATACAATGAAGCTCAATACACACCCCATGGGGTAACATGTCTATCTAAAGAGGGATGAACAAGAAAGAGAGCCTAGCCTAAAACGATAATCTCTCACAGCCTGAAGGCAAGTCGACAGAGTGGGCTTCTCTGTCCTTGCAATTCTTTTCTTTTTCATATCTTTTTTATTTTATTTTATTTTATTTATTTATTTATTTATTTTTATTTTTTATAGCGAACTTAAATTTCCTTCCACTTCTCAGTGGTCTCATTTGGTTTAATGTCCATGCTGTTCACTTGCAGGGACTGTGTATGTTACTTGCTATGATTCTGAAAGCTTTGGGGCCACATCCTGAAAGATGCTTATATAGATGTAGGTGTAGTGGATGGTGGTAGTGGTGTAGTGGGTTAGGTTTAGTGGAGTCGGTGAGGTGGTAGTGGTGTAGTGGGTTAGGTTTAGTGGAGTAGGTGAGGTGGTAGGTGATGTAGAATTCTAACAGCCCCCCGCAAACTCAAGGAGGATAGAAACTAGCCAACTTGAGTTTGAAGAGAGGAACAAAACAAGAAAATACATAAAAATAAAAGAGGATAGGTGACACTGTATGGAGGATAGAAACTAACCAACTTGAGTTTGGAGGATAGAAACTAACCAACTTGAGTTTGAAGAGAGGAACAAAACAAGAAAATACATAAAAATAAAAGAGGATAGGTGACACTGTATGGTCGTGTCAGACCATTGGTGAAGACACTGGATGGTGGTGTCATAACGTTGTAGAGGACACTGTACGTGAGCCCGGTGCATGCAATACAAATGAATGTATGCAAACATGCATAGCATAAGGATGCTTATTGAAAATGACCCTAAACTAACCATTTTTTTTTTTTAATATAATATAATAAAAAGATATATATATATATATATATAAAAAATAACAAAAGTGGGAACAATGAGTGCACAAGAAGCTTTATAATAAAAAAACAATTTTGGGCGGTGGTGTGAAACCCAAACCGAGGCCGATTTTAAACCAAAACAATAAATTTTTATTTTCATTCTCATATTGTGTGAGAGAGAGAATCAGGAACCAAAGTTCATCTGTATCCTTGAGTGCGAAGGAGACAGGAACCAAAGTCTGGTCGATGAATCAGGACCGCATGAGCAGAGCGTGATTAACAGCTCCTGTTGGTTCGTCTCGGACGTTGCAGAGCAGTAGAGGATCGTGCTCTGCTTGTGTCGACTGGCAGGGATGGTCGTGCGGTGGTCTCGGTCCAGGTCAACGGTGGGGCAGATGGTGGTGGTGGTGCGCCGCTGCCACGGCGCCATGGTGGCGAGGCCCGAGCGAGCCGCCAAGGATGCTCCGAACAGGGAGGAGAAAGTAGAACTCCGTGTCGCCGATCTGGAGAAGGTCTTGGGAGTCGAGCTTGACGAGAGGTGGAGTACGCCTTCGACGAAGCAACCGTTCTTGCCGAGGACTGCGAGGGCGAAGCGGCGGCGCTGGAAGTCGTAGAAGATGCGGGCGTGGTGGAGATGATGGATTGGTTGCTGCGAAGAAGATGAGTCGCAGATCTATTGAAATCCTCAGGAGCCGAATCAAAAAAGGGAAGAAGAGTTTCTGGTATGTGTTGAAAAACTCCAGCAGGCAGCGAAGGCAAGGTTGCCGGCCGGCTGCCTGCCGGAAAGAAATGAGTATAGGCCTAAATCTTATAGCTCTGATACCATGTTAAATAATACTGTATTATTGATTGTTATTGATGTGTTACAAGATTGTTCCTTATATAGATGTAGGTGTAGTGGATGGTGGTAGTGGTGTAGTGGGTTAGGTTTAGTGGAGTAGGTGAGGTGGTAGTGGTGTAGTGGGTTAGGTTTAGTGGAGTAGGTGAGGTGGTAGGTGATGTAGAATTCTAACATTTCCTTCCACTTCTCAGTGGTCTCATTTGGTTTAATGTCCATGCTGTTCACTTGCAGGGACTGTGTATGTTACTTGCTATGATTCTGAAAGCTTTGGGGCCACATCCTGAAAGATGCTATGATAGTGATGATGATTATACTCCAGACAGGGTTCCACTCTTGAAGAATTATGTTCAGCCGCATTATGTTGTTGGTGACCCTATCTACAGATCCAAGAATGATTCTTGGAATGTGCGGATTAATGATAAGGTAAAGGTGTAGGTAATTAAATTTGACAGTTGATGCCATTTATATGAATCCTTTATTGTTCTTGTTTTTTAAGTTTTAGTCTGTCTTGCCAATATTTTGCTAAATCATTACGATCATATATTATTTTCATAATTCTGACCTTCATTTTTATTCATCTCCTAGCTTCTTCAACTTGTATTGTGCTGTTTTATTTATTTATTTGTTCTGAGCTTATTGTTCTCTTGCACATATGACTCCACCATTTCAGCTGGTTTCCTTCCAAGGACTGTTTCTTTTTTTTTGATAAATCTTCCAAGGACTGTTTCTACTTTCAACTTTTCTCAATGCATCCATTTCAACTCTGTATAACATACTCACCTTTTCTTCTTTGTTAAAATCATGATTGTTTATGATTTGATTCAACCAAAATGATTCGATTCATGCTGTTAAATCTTAAATTCAATGAATCGTATGCTTCAATTGCGATTCATTGTGATTCAGTTCTATTTGCATAATGCATAAAACAACATTGTTTCGCAAAATTTTTGAGAGAGAGAGAGAGAGAGAGACCAATTAATTATATTGATATACGTGATTGTATAGATATACAATTTAGTTAATAGACATTTATTTCATTTTAAACATTGTGTATTTTTGGGTGTATAGATATATAAAATTATATATTATGCTAAATAAAATGAATCTTATGAGTCACGATTCGATACAATTCATGATTTGACAACAATTTTTAAAATTTTAATTCTAGGATGTGCTTTGTTTATGGACTAGTTTCTTGACTTTCCATCTTTTAGTACAAACATAAATCCTTAATGGTAACTTCAATTTTGATTTAATTGTTTGCACTGATTATAAATTACTTGAAGCATTTTTACCATTCCTGGTCTCTTTCTTTATTGGTTTCCTTTTCCTAACTCCCAGTTTTAATGATGAGTAAAGTAAGACAGTTAAACAAATCCGCTAGGATTCTCTCTTACTATGTAACCTTTTTGCCATTCCTCATTCATTCTCCTACTTCCATCTGATTTGATCAGTCCTGAATTTTGAAATTTTTTTCTGTTTTGCTGCATCTTGTTGTCGTGGTATATGATTGTAAGCTATGTTAGTCAGCATACTAAGATCTGCAGATGTGAAGGGCATTCATTTTGTTTTGTCCTATATGTGGATGACTCATTTTGACAGTGTGCCAGAATACTAGTTGGAAATATGACGAATTCTTGGATAATTGGAAAATATAGATAAAATGTCAACAAGGTTGATGGGAAGATTGAGAAAAAAATTCCCTTATCCAAAACTAAATAGAAGGTAGTGCCTAGTGACACAAGTGGTGTTATTAAAGCCATGTTATCAAACTTCAGCTCTTAGTAGATGTCATGAATTTCCATCCATAAGGACATAATCAACCATCCAATGAATTTATGAATTCAATGTTGAACTTTTGAATGCAACTCTATCTTGATAAGAAAATCAGTTTATCTTTCGCGCTAGTTTTGTTGCTTTTGTCACTTAATCTCTTGCCAAATTGCATCTTTACCTTCTCCCGAGGTTTAAAAAGAATGCTTTGCTATGCCTCTTTTGGTAGGTGCTACTGCTGGACCCTTTAAATTGATGATTTATTTTCTTGTTTATTCTCTGTTTTTTATTTTTGTTTTTTGATTTTTCCAGATAAACAAGTGAAGAGGATTTGGATCAGGTAGAGCCTTCATATGCATGATAAGAAAGAAGCACAGCAAGGTTGTTATATGTCTTATTGGAGCCTAAACTACCCTACAAGGTTAAAAATGAAAAATAAAAATAAAAATGACAGGCTTATATAGCAGGTGGTATAACTTAATTGACAGGTGCATATAACTGTAGAATTCTCTATCTACTATACTGGAATATCATGATGTAAATAGCGAATTTGCAACTACCTTTTGTTTGTGCATATACAACTGCAGAATTCTCTACCTTTTACCTGCGCTTAACTGTTACTTGTAGTTCCCATAGCTTTGATGTTAGCTTCCATGTCTTAATTTGCTTCATGTGGCTTTGCTTAAAGTATATCCGAGAAAAGCATTTGTTAAGAAAAGTGAAATACCTGGAGCAACATTGTAACTCATAAGATGTACTCACCCAAGCCCACCCCGGTCTGGCCCTGTCATAGAGTGTATGAAGTGTGACCTGATTTTGTTTGATATCCTTTCGCCATGATCAGTACCCTAGTTTACACTACCACCTTGACCCTTGCTTTTTAGTAGACTGAATTATATTGATACAGACTTGAATCACATCCATTAGTTTTTTATTTTTTGAGAATCAACAAGCATAGGTTATATAATAAGAGATTTTACAGACATGGCCAAAACATGGATAACTGATCGTTCTACCGTATAAATTGCCAAAACAGTAAAAAAATTATCACTAGATAGGGTATGGAGAGGATGCATTCCAGTCAGACAGAGTGTTGCCCTTGAGGGTGTTGACCAGGACTTGGCAGTCTGAAGATAGTGTGGCAATGAATATTGTGCATCTTAGCCCAATATATAGCATCCAAACAAGCCTTCGCTTTGGTGCTGAAAGCAGAGTGTAGATGAAGACGTGGTTTTTTGATAAATCTTTTGCTGCATAACATTATAACAAATCCATGCAATACCAGCGTCATTGGTGGGCATTGTCCAAACCTAAAAAGGATGATCATTAACAAAGTTATTTGCAAGTATTAAGGCCAAGTTTGGCATGAGACAAAAAAGACAAAAAGTCAAAAAGTCACTATCCTATTTAAGTCACATCATCTTATTTAAGTCACATCACCTCTCTAACACATCACTTCAAACCCAACCCAAACACAACCCATATTTCATAAAAAGTCAAAAAGTGCACTTATTTAGTCTTCCCAAACTAGGCCTAAGTGTTAGTATCATAGTTTTCGGGAACTGCATAAGAGCCTTTGATAGATTCAAACCCGAAAGAGGCATTGTATGAGCCTGAGAACTTTTCATGACACTAAGGCCTCGTTTGGGTACCATTCCTTTTAGTAAAAAAGTCAAAAAGTTACTAAGGCTTCGTTTGGGAACAAGTTAATTTAGTAACTTTTTGGCTAATTGGCTAAAAAGGTAGGTAAAAAAAATTTGTATGTTTGGAATGACTTTTTGACTAATTACAAAAAACTGTGCAAAAAGTAGAGAGAAGCCGTAATTGTTGATTTTTTGGTATGACTAATTGGTTAATTGGCTAATTTAGTAACTTTTTGGCTAATTGGCTAAAAAGGTAGCATCCCAAACGAGGCCTAAGTTAGTTAAAAGTCAACAACTCATACCAAAAAGTCAAAGATTCTCTTTTCTCTCTATTTTTTGTACATTTTTTCGTAAAAAGTTAAAAAGTCATCCCAAACATATTAGTTTTTTTAGCTCATATTTTAATTAAATAGTCAAAAAGTTACTTAAATTAGCTGTTCCCAAATGAGGCCTAATATACATGTCATTATGAGCCTGAAAACTTTTCATAGCACTAATATACATGTCATGCGCTAACTGGACTGCATGGGGGATGGGCATTTCAGTCTTACCAAACACTTTACTATTTCTCTATCTCCAGATGGACCAGAGTATAGAAATTGATTGGATAACCGGCTGCTCGCTAACCCTATGAAACCAATTTTGGAACCAAAGATGGAAAGGCACACGAATTCCATGAGAAATTCAGGCCTAGGGGTGAGGCCCTCTATATGTGCTGGGAGAAAGGACATTCACAGAAAAGATTTTCCAAGGTTTTTTCCCTAGAAAAGCATCCAGGACAATTAACATTCAGTGTGACCCCTCGTTGTCTCGAGTTCCACTTAACAGGTAGGATATTGTGAAGGCTTTTCCAGATGAAAGTAGCCCACTTCGGTGGAATTTTCTACTTCCAAGGCCACACAGACTGATTCTTAAGCCTTTGTCTATCGGGCGAATCTCTTATTTGTAACCCCTTTACATATCCAAATTTGCCTAAATATACACCAGATTTTGATTCTCCCCAAACAAGTCTATCCTAGATCCCAGAACGTGGAACATGGATACTTTGAATGAGAGGTGAACATTTCTGTAGGAAGAACAAACGTATAGCAAAGCTGATCTCCAACAATGGTTTTCCATGTCAATGAAATGAAGTGGGAAATAGTTAAAGAAGAGAAATAGTGAGACAGTTCCTTACCCCTCAAAGGATTGGACATCTGGGTATCCACTGATCCTCCAAATGATTAATCATTTTCCCATCTCCAATCACCCATCTAATACCATTGCAAATCAGATCCTTGCCTGATAAAGACTTCTCCATCCCTATGAGGCATAGCACACCCTTTTAACATCAAGCATGGATTGAGAATGACAATATTTCCCCAAATTGTTAAAATATCCAACAGAAAAAAAAATAAAAAAAAATATTATGTGTATATTCAATAGTATGTGTCTTATAATACAATGAAGAGGTCTATATATACTCAAGGTAAGAGTGGGCAATAAGAAAGTTATGGAAATATCTTAATATAATAAAATTTAATTACAACATCTAATATATATAGTGAATATAATATATATATATACCATATTCAGTAACAGTTTCCTTCAAAAGTGGTTGCGAAGAGACTAACTAGAGTCTTGAAAGAGAAACTAGAGAAAATAAAATAAAAATAATAATGTTGGAAGATAATTTATGGTCATGTCGGACCATTAGAGGAGTAGTCGGGGTTAACGCTGTAAAACAATTTATGGTTGTGTCGGACCGTTGTAAGAACATGGTCGAAACAAACAAAGCTAATGCCAGGAGACAGTTTATGGTCGTGTCGGACCATTGTAGAAAAAGAATGGGTGTTGAATCAGCAAACATAGTACACACGTAACTTATAACGTGGTGTTGGACGGTGATGGCAATAGATGAAAGAGTGCGCCAAGGAGCGGCTTAGAAGGGAACCATGTGTGTCAGGGAGTGGCTTGGAAAGGAACCATGTGCACTAAGAGGTGGCTTGGAAAGGAACAAAATGCACCAAGGGGGCAACTGAGGGAGCAGCTTAAGGAGTGCGGCAGAAGTGGCTTAGGGAGTGAACAAAGGGGAAACTTAGGTGGTGCACCAAGGGGGGGTGGCTTAGGAAAAAGGGTGACTTAGGTGGTGTGCTAAAGGGCGACTTAGGTGGTTTGCATGGTGTATAACCATGCTCACCATAATATAGGTATAATATCCTCCTTCAAACTTAATAGGTTTGAAGATAAAAACTTATTTGAGGTTGAAGCAGAGGAAAAACTGAGTGGAGCGGAATGGAGAGACCATGTTTACAAAAAGATATTGTATAAAGAAATTTTTAGTTTAATGAAGAGTGAAGAACCTTTTTTTTATTTGATTTTTTTAGAGGAAAAAAAAAAGGATAAAACCACATAGGTGTAAAAAATAATGGTGGAACAAACAGATTGTTTTGTTTGAATAGAAAAATAGTGTAGACCAAAGAGAATTTTGGATGGGTTTGATTAAAAAATTGTGAAGGATGATGGGTTCGATTAAATAATTGCGGAGCTTATGGGTTTGTGGGCAATGGTGAAAGATGGCGATGATGGCCGGAGCTATAGCTATAGCACGACGGTGATGAAAAGGTTTGATGTGTTTGATAAAAGGATGGGTTTATAGGCAACGGAGCTGACGGAGATACTAGAGTTGAGAGATGCAGCGGAGTGAAGGTGATGATGCTGAAGAAGGTTTGGCGACTATGGTGAGACAGCAAATAGGATTGAGGTTCGACGAGCGGCTAAGGTAAGGGTGCCGCCTACCAGTAAGGCGAAAAACACCAAGAGCTTAATTTATAACTCTGATACCATGTTATAATATCTAAGAGAAAATAAATATTATATTATGTGTACATTTAAAGTCTGGTTGAAACATTCCAAGTCTCGAACCTCCCAGACTTTTTTGGGGACACACCTTCTGAGGGACACACCTTGTGCCATTTGCGCCAACAGAGACTCCTATCTTTATCCGAATACCACAGAAAACTTCGAATAATCATAGTAATATTTTTCAAACAATATTTCAAGATTCGAAAAAAAGGAAAAATGTAGATCGGAATGGATTGAAGAAAATATTTGATTAAGCCACATCTAATCGCAAAGTTGAGAATTAGATATTTCCATCCAGGGGGTATATTTTTAATCTGATTTGGCAAAAACCCAAAAATATCCAATTTTTTCTGACACGAGAAATCCATCATTGCACCCAGATAAATTCTACCAAAAGGTAAAATACTACCCAGCATCATTCTATCAGCCAAAGAAAAATTAGGATTCAAAATTTTTTCACGTAAATTGATTTTAAGCCTTGTTAACGCACAAAAAGCATTGAGAAGCCACTGAAGGCACTAAGCTTCTGCTGGGATGAATTGCATAAAGAGAAAGACATCATCCACAAATAAAATATGGGAGATGAGAGATAAGAGGCGAGCGACGGCTAATTGCAATCCCACGACAAATGCCTATAGGCTAATTGTTATCGCTTATATATTCATTGTTTATGAACAACTTCATGAGTGTGTACCTTCAAAAACTATTCAGCTACCTATAGCTTTATAATACACATTGAAAAAGGTGTGTACCATATGTCTTAATTATGACCTTTGTGATATTTGGTTATAACCCATTGTAGTGTTGGTTATAGCTTATTGTGACGTTGTTTATGATTTAATTATAACCTATTGTGATTATTATTTTGGTTATGACCAAAGAGGTCTTTAGTTTTTTTTATTAGCAAAAAGAAACTTTATTGATTAATAAATTTAGTACAAAGAGAACAAAGATACACCATCAATAAAGAGAGGTGGAGTGTCAAAAGCATCATACAACTAGGTTGGCACTGATTAGCAAGCACAATCAACTGTTAGAACCACACCAACAGTTGGTGAGAAACCAACTCAGAAGCAAGGAACAAGAAAACAAACCAAAAGTCCAAAGCAAAGGGAGAAACCAAGGAAAACCAAGCTAAGAGCAACAAC